AACAAGAATCTAATATTACGGAAATTAATCAGGAGTATTGATCCACCTAACACCATAATATTGCCAATAATATCTAGCACTGCAGAATTCGTTGACCGATTAGTCGTAATATTAAATGTTTCCAGCGTAGGTTTAATTCTCGGAAAAACGTACGTATTCTTTGAGAGAGGCGACCTAGACTTATTTTTGTATTTGTACCCTGTTAAATAATCAAAAAGTCGCTCCGCGTATAAATATAGTACGTAAAAGTATAGCTGGAAAAAAGTAGCAGTTTTTGAGATTGTTTTTTTTACATATAAACGTGTGATGTGAAAGGGATGTGTAATCTTCGAAAACTAACAAATACCCATTATATACGAAGACCCATCAGGTCTCGAGTGACCCAGCCACCGCTAATCGAAGATTAAAGTCCCTACTAAATTTAAGTTCCTTCGATTCTCAGGATTGTCCGTGGACCGACAATATTCTCGAAAGCTCGATAAAATCAGGTCGATTAGAGAGAAGATAATTAATGGCGCCCATAACGCGCGCCTGGAGAAATTCCGCGCAAGGTCGCGAAAAAGAAGACTCGTTTATGTCGTTCGCACTTAGGTGCGTGTTACTGTTAAGGATTATAAATTGCTCGGCTCCCGTTCTTTTCAAAGGATCGTCCGTTGGCGCGGTGCGTGCACCCCCTCCCCCCTGGCACACAACAGCGGCCCTCCCTGCAGGCTTCTCCACCCTTGTCCACGCGGTGGTGCACTCTCGCTCAGATCGCGGTAATGAACGCGTTCTGCAGTTTGCACTCGGCGCGAGTCCGCCATTATTGCATTGCTCGAGCTAAACAAATTATTCCGCCCGGGCTTTTGTGTGCGCCACACACGTGCGCGCGAGGTGTTGCGAGTCGGGTTGTCCCCGACAGCGGATAGAAGAGCAAGCGCTCGTCGATCGGTGGAACATTCGCGCCGACTGCGAAAATTGCTAATGTATTGTGCGCGAAATAACGCGCGCTCGTTGGAACGATTGTTCGTGCTGATCTATTATACGCGGGGAAATGTTTAATCGAAAGATACCCACGAATGAAATGAAAGTTACAAACGAGAGAGAATTGTTGCAACGAAGCGAGTCGACAACTGCATTTTTTTTTAATTAGATGTACGTGCGATATTTCAAATTATTCACTCTCGATTCTTTATATTATATAATAATTTATATTATTAATAAATAAAACATAATTGTAAGAATAAATAATCAAAAATTTTATAATATAATTTATATATAATTACATATACTATTACTATTTATATAGTATATAAAGAGCTGTATTATAGAGTTTACATTGTGACAAAGATGTATAATAAAACGACAGCAATGTCATTCATGTTAATTTAAATTCTGTCGTTACTGCAATGTTAATTTGATTTCTATTTTGTAAATTTTGATATTTAAAAGAACTAATTTAGCTCGTACTTGTATGTATACGTGTTGTATATCTACTATACGTAACGATCGGTACATACCTAAATATGTCTCTGAATGGTTGCATATGCATATATATATATTATATATATATGAAGTATACAATAGCAGTATCGCGCACGCTGCATAACTCAGCAAGATATTGGGAACTCTATTATCATAGTAAACCTCTGTTCCTCAACAGCCCTTATGATGACGTAATTATCTTTAGTAATTAAAGTACATATATACTTTAGGCGGTTATTGGCTCTTTAGAGACATGCCGCGGAAAATTATGGAAATTTTAAGCAAACAAGCTTTTATTTCACGATCGATGGATTATTATCCATTAACGGCGCTGCATGTTCACGATAGATTAATCTAGTTGATATATTTTATTATAATGCAATCGGAACATCAATTATTACTTTCGTTGTATGTATGTTCTAACAGATTTTATTATTTATATTAACTGTACATTATTTATTAACGCTCGACCATCGCTCTCGTGCTCTCTTTTTTTCGGCGCGTTTAATTATTTCGTAGAATATATTTTGTATATTGGTAAAACTTGTTGTGCGTGAAATGAACAATTAATGCGCGGACGCGGATTAATTCGCGTCGACCGTCCAGATTAACATTAGGTTCTTCTGCCATTCTGCCGTTTCGGTAAAATGCAAAAATTATAAGAGCGAATATAAAACGGAAATGCACGCGCGATCCGTCGATCGTATCAGGGAGTGTCATTACCTACTCAAAATGGCAGTGTCCGTTGGTCGTGATACACGATCGATAGATAAAAGAAACTGTGATGGAATGGCTGCTGCTGCTGCTACTGCTTCTATCGCGACTATACTTCCCATGCGCGACAGAGAGGGGAACAGACAGCGGAGGGTAGTAAGTGGGCTAGTAAGTTTCACGATAACAGTTATAAATGACCCTCTCGAAGCACGGCGCCGCAGGACTCTCAACTACGTGCCAGACACTGGCCCCTGCCTAATACAGGCGACGTCACACGGATATAGCCGTAAAAGGCACTAAACAAACATACGCTAAGTGCCCCCGCGGCCCTTCGTACGTGTGTGTTTACGTACTCTTGATCGATAATCGCGCCCGTCGATCGCACGTCCCCGCCATGACCGGTCACCGCCGCGACTTCGGGAAACGTCACTTTTTTGCAACGTCATCTCGTATATAAAACCTTGGTCGCAAATTTTCTCGGCGACCGAGTTAATATTTCACACGCGATGTCATCCGTTACTCGCGACTAAGTTTAACACCGAATTCTCTGATCAATCTGAAGATATTGACGCAGGTCATCCATTGCTATTTTGTAATTTTTAACATCGTACATCTTCAATCAAGAGAGATAAAATTCTTCAGCAAAATTTACTGGAAATTATATATAATTAAAAAATATTAATAATATTCAAATAAATATTTGTCTAAAGGATATACTTGAAAGAAATATTTATATAATTTTTTTATACTTTACATAAATAACATATAGAATTATAAAATACTTTATTTGTTAGCATATTAATACGAATGGCTGCAATATATTGGAATATTCTGTTTTTGTATAAAATATTTATATAAAATAATTTGACGAAATTGTATAAACATTTTTCTTTTACGAGAGAGAGAGAGAGAGAGAGAGAGAGAGAGAAATATCTTCATAAACTTCAACGTATTATAGAAGTATTATAGAAACCAACATTAACCAAGGTATACTTGTTGGATATATATTGTTTGTCAATAAATTATGGCCAAAGCTAGAGATAATGCAGAAACTAATGAGTGTAATATATTCACACATGTATGCGCGGGTGTATTTATGGAAGACCTTCGTTCATTTTAACAATAGCGTAAGTAGATGAGCAAGTACCTGAAGCACTTAAGTACTTTCATTCTATCAACATGTATGTCCATTGTTCTCTTCTCTTCCTCCTGCTCTTCTTCCTCCTCAAAAGCACACACGTAATACAAATTTATTAATCATCATGATTTTAATAAACACTTATTATGCTACGTAATGTAAACGTTGGAATAAATTTAGTTAGTCTTGCAGTCTCCAAGAGCCTCTTATAAGCTGTAATATCAAACGTATCCGTTGATCGGTCAGTTTTAGGATACACAGAAATGCCGTCTACTTATAGATAGCGTGGCGTCCGCGGACACCACTACATTACGCGCCACTCAAGATAGATGTTGCGCCATAATTGCACCCTCCTTTGGAGAAAATACGGCGCGTTATTCGACGGTATTATGAACACAAATCTGCGTCGACCCTGCGGAATGTTAAGCGAAAGTCGCATCTCAACCCGAGGGATCCTCGTTTTCGGGAACGATTTGCCCCGCGGTTCCTCCGGAATGGGGATGTTTCCCGACAGGTAGCTTTTAAGAAATTTATTCAGCCGCATATTAAACGGCGCGCGGATCTTGATAAATCCAAATGGATTTCCCGTGTACGATTCACTTGGCGTGTGACTTTCGGCGCGCGATTTAGCGATGTTACCCGATGCCAAAAATCGATTTATTTCACACTAATCGTCGGTCTGCGGGCGTTTACGCTTTGTGGCATATTTCCATATTAGAATTTAGTGCAAGCAGTATGGTCGGACAAACAGGGGACAAACGAAAGGGGAATACAACCACAAGGCATCACTTACTCCATTTGCATCGGTATTTCATCGTTAAGTTGGATTTATTTGAGAATCGATATAAACATTATTTTGCTCAGTGACAGCTAAATATATGTATATATTCGTTTCACATTTATCTTTTATCCTTCATCCATTACATGATGAATTTGAAATCGAGTTTTTAGCAAAATTGTTTAACATCTAACTAATTTTTAAATGTTATAAGTTTTTTTGCAAAATGTTTGAAATTTAATGAAAAATACAATATATCTTAATAATTGTTTGTATTTTTAAAATTTCGTTTCTACAAAATTTATTTTTAATTTGTTGTAATTGAAATTTTTAATACTAAATTACACTATCAATTGTAATATTAATATTATTGCTTAATGTTTATTTTTTTTAATATTTAAATAAGTAAATGATACTTGAAATGTTTTAATTGAAATTTCTAATCATATATACTTAAATATTCTTCCATAGAATGTTAATAAAATCCTCTAATACATTGTCATCTTTCATTCCGTGAATCAATGTAAAAGATCGTGCAAAAAATAAAAATGTAATATCATTTTATCGAAGTCATCTTTCTATAAACATGTTATAAATAGATCCCAATATTTATTTATGGCGATGGAAAAACAGCGATTGATGTAAAATTCTTTTTCGCAAACTCATAGCATCGGAAATCGAACTCGCCGAAATTATGCGGGCTTCAATCCTTGGCATAAAAGCTTTCTCTCTCTCTCTCTCTTTCTCTCTCGTTGAGTGCTTTCTCACTCTCACTCATTACAATGGTTTGAATGCATTTCGCGATCTCCTCGATTTCCGCGTTTTCATCTTCGTACAAAGCGCGCAGATGCAGACAGGCGCGAACCATCCCTGCACGCCACTGGAACAAGTCGCGCCCTGAACAGACAGCGCGAGCGTCATGGCGGCGAGTTAGGATATCGATCCTGGACCAGTGGGATGCTGGCCGCCCGACGTTTCGCCGATCGCGCGCCACCATTCAGCACGCTAAGTGTGTTGTTATCTTGCCTTCTTGGCTTTTTTTTACACCTTTTGTAATAAAACTACTGCCAAGGTACATGTACCAAGGGGTGAGACCCTAACGCAGCGAGTGCTCACGAGTGTCGTACCTTCGCACGCATTTGTAAACAGCGCCGAAAATGCGAACAACGGTGCTCACAGTTTTGCTCAATGTCTTGGGTGTCGTTTACGGTAAGCTCGCCTGGCTGCTTAGCTCGCTGGGATCGCATGATCCATTAAAAGAACGAATAATCGTGTATCGAAAACAGTCGTTTATTTATTTTTTTCATCCCATTAATTGTAGCAGTGATTTTAGATTGACTTAACATGAAACATAATGTGGAGAAATTATGTTAATTTTTTAATGTATGTTTATACAGTATTATTATATTGGAGAATCATGACAGAAAGAATATTTTTTAATACACGCAAACATAAATTTAACTTAAAATACATCATTTTAGAAGAAATATTACTCAAAAATTCTTATTTCTTAAAAACATAAAGAACATTCAGTAACGTGTTTTTTAATTTTACTGTGAAATGCATTCTATTGCCATTTCATTCTTTTGCTATTTTTTCTATTGTTGTATGCTTTTAAACTGTATGTACATGCTTCTATTATTTTTTTAAATTTCTATCATGTAATACGAAAAATTCTGGAATGAAGAACTTATTCCATTTATTTGTAAATAAAATATTTTTTACGATAATTTGTACAATCACATTAAAAAAACAAATATGATTAAAATTAAATAAATTTAAACAAATTAGGGATCGTCAAGAATAAATCAACAATAGTGAAATAATGTAATGATTAAAATCAATTTTTCACAATTTTGCAATGAAATTGAACGATTTAGTCACCAAAATAAAATACATAATCTAAATTATTTCATTTCGTAATTGAGCACAATTATGGAACAATCTGTTTTCTTCCGATACGATAATATAAGCTTAAAATTTAATGTGTAGATCTTAATTAACCTAATTAACACCATTTACATGTAAGATTTAGTTTTAATTAATCGAATTATTTTTTACATAATTATAAAACAATTTAATACAATTGTAATTAATAAATTAAAATACAATTTATTTTGATAAAATATTTTAAAAAACAAAAGAAATGAATATTTATTAAAACACATTCATTGAAATGTGTATCAATAAATATTTTTTTACGCAGGAAACATCATTTTCGAAGCGAATCCTGATACGAAGAGACTCTACGACGATTTACTGTCCAATTATAATAGATTGATACGTCCTGTTGTTAATAATACAGAGACTTTAACAGTTTGGTTGGGATTAAAGCTGTCGCAATTAATAGAAATGGTATACAAATTGAAATAAATATTATTCTAATATTTTAAAATTCAATATTATATTTTGTTTATAATTTTATTCGCTTTACTATTTATTATAAGTATAAATTTATATATTACACATGTATATATACATATATAAATTTTATGTTTATTTTACTTAATATAAAATTACATATTATTAATTATACAAATATGATATATTATATGTACATAATTTTTTATTTATATTATATTTAAGGGCTTTGTGAAAATTAATAACTAACGCTTCACTTTGCAGAATCTAAAGAATCAAGTGATGACAACCAACGTCTGGGTAGAACAGGTCAGTTATGTAATAGCTCGTTTCACTTTCGCAGTAGTAACCGAGCGTTACAGTCGGGCAATCAGCAAACTGATATCTGTTCGTTTCTTGCAGAAATGGTTTGATTACAAATTACAGTGGGATCCACAAGAGTATGGTGGTATAGATATGTTATACGTGCCTTCCGAGAACATATGGCTTCCGGATATCGTTCTATATAACAAGTAAATTGCAAAAGACTCTTTACGATTCGAATGAAAACACGTAAAGTCTCTATGCCGCAAGGCTCCCAAATAGAAGTAGAAAAACGTATTTGCAATCGTCGAAATCCTAAGAAAATTGGAGAAAATAAATATTTATTTGATATATTAAAAAATGAGGTGCCGTATAAAGCAATTTTCGAATTAATCTTATTTCTCGTTTTGTCATACAGCGCAGATGGTAATTACGAAGTAACGTTAATGACGAAGGCCACTTTGAAATCCACTGGTGAAGTATTCTGGAAACCGCCAGCCATTTATAAGTCGTCCTGCGAGATCAACGTGGAATATTTCCCGTTCGATGAGCAATCGTGTATTATGAAATTTGGCTCATGGACTTACAACGGCGCTCAGGTTACAGCAATATATATTTGTGTATATGAGCAGTGTAGAACGTCCCAGAACAATCGAATTCCTTTAATCAAATATTCTAAAATCAACTTTTCCTTTTAATGAATATGTCGAAGGTTCATATAATTAGATATTACCTAATTTAGAGAATTTTCATGAAGCAAACTTTATAACTATAAAAATAACAAAATTATATTCTTCAGCTAATCTTAAATTTTGCTTTGCCAGAATTAAAATTAAACACTAATCAAATGTAGATTTGAAGAAACTTAATTAAAAGAGATATAACATTCATATCATTTTATGATGTAGATGTTATAATAAATAACAATTTTAATTACTTTGTAATTTTTTGTTGTAATTTTAAATTATGTAATTTTGGTCTAACGTTTTTCGAAAATGTGCTTTATAAAATCTTCTTCCCGCAGGTAGATTTGAAGCATATGAAACAGGAGTCTGGTAGCAATCTCGTTGCGATCGGTATAGATCTCACCGATTTTTATCTATCAGTGGAATGGGATATCCTGGAAGTACCAGCAACACGCAACGAAGAATATTATCCATGCTGTACGGAACCTTATTCAGGTAAGATTTGATAATAAGATTTTCAACTTTATAAAATCGAAAAAGACAATTTTACTTGCTGATTCTGGTTATTTGTTGTTAGTGCAATTTTTAAACTATTTTCTTTTGAAGCTAATTTGGTCCGAATAATCGTAATTAATTTAATTTCATCATTTAATTTCAGATATCACATTCAATATTACGATGAGAAGAAAAACTCTATTTTATACTGTCAACCTTATTATCCCATGCGTTGGTATCACATTTTTAACGGTGTTGGTTTTTTATCTGCCCAGTGATTCCGGTGAAAAAGTAGGTACATTTTTTGTGGAGCCGTTAAAGTTTGTACAATATATAAATGTACATATATAAATTTTGTTATGGAAAATTTCTTTACACTCTCAATCGTAATATTTATTTAAAATTTTGAAAAACGTTACCTCAGTGGTGAAATAGTAGTAAATACTTAATAAAACGTAAAGACTTATTACCATATATTTCAATCATCGCAAATGTATTTATTATTGCTTCGCATTTTTTTGTGCAGGTATCATTATGTTCTTCCATTCTCCTCTCATTGACAGTGTTCTTCTTGCTCTTAGCAGAGATTATTCCGCCAACCTCGTTAGCTATACCTTTGCTTGGGAAATACTTGTTGTTCACCATGATTTTAGTTACTTTGTCCATTTGGATCACCGTGTGCGTCTTAAACGTACACTTTCGGTAATGTATATTTTACATATTTTAAAAATATCAATTGAGTTATAATTCTGTCTATCTAATACGAATCTATACATGATTTATATTGGAAATGAAGCAAATATTTTAAGCGAAACATATGTGAATATGATTAATAAAATTTAAAAATCAGATATTTAATTATTAAGAATCAATGCCTCAGTTTGAAATAAAAATTTTATTAAGAAAGAAATTATTTTAGTAGTAAAATACATGATTTTTTGTAATTTTCTAATCAGAATTAAGCTTTCTAATCCGAATTTATACTATTATATTTTATAATTTATAATATTAATTTACAGATCTCCTTCCACGCACAATATGTCGCCATGGGTAAGACAAGTGTTTCTGAATTGGATGCCGAGAGTATTGATGATGCGTCGCACACCATATTCTACACCAGAATACGATGATAATTACATGGATAGCGCATACACTAACGAAATAGATTACAGGTAATATATCGGCTTTTTTCCTCGCTAAAGGTATTTATTCTTTAACATCTGAAATTTTTCGTGACAGTGTAAGTGACTATCCTTTGGAACTGAAAGGAAGCCCAGATGCGTTCGAAAGTGTTACTTCAACATATAAAAGTATTAGAGATGACGATGCACGACACGTACCCCATGCATCAGGTAATACTTTCGTTATTTATCAGAAAATGATTTCTATTCTTTCATTCTTGAGCGTATTCTTTCGTAATATTTGTTCTCTTTTCCTTCTCTGATATTCAATAGATAATTCTTTGAAATAAAAAAATTTTACTTATGAGAATTCATCTATGTATTATTTGCAATCGTATATTACTGCAATATATTCGTAAAAACGCTATATATATTATCAGTATTGTATAATAATTTATATCAGTAAAAATATAATAAAATTATATTTAGCATTATAAATCTGTTGAGCATGCTGTTGAGAAGAAAAAACCATTAGTCTTATAAAATATATATTGACTAAGTATCATTTCAGTTACTGACAGCGAAAATACGATGCCAAAATATTTATCTCCAGATGTCATATCAGCTCTCAAAGGTGTGCGTTTCATTGCTCAGCATATAAAAGATAATGATAAAAATAACGAGGTAAATAAATCAATTATAATTTCTTCCGTTTTTACATATTTTTCAATATATTTTCTTGTAATATAATAATTTATCAAAAGCTTCACTGTATACATATATCGACATGGTTAATCTTATAACAATATTCAATTTTATCACTTACATTAGAAACATTTATTCGTTTTCTCAGGTCATAGAAGATTGGAAATTCGTAGCTATGGTTTTGGACAGATTCTTTCTTTGGATATTTACGATCGCGTGTATCGGTGGCACTCTAGGTATAATATGTCAAGCACCTAGTTTGTACGATACGCGCGTACCTGTGGACCAACAACTTTCCGGTATATCATTGCGCAAGTACATGTTTTTACCGAATACAACTTTTGAGGATTAACTACCACGTATAAGAAATGATTCGCGTGTAAAGAGCAATGACATGTTAGTCGTACTCCATAAAAACAGGTTCGCCACCTTTCCTCTGCATTTCTCCCGCTAAAAGAATTTATCTATATTTTTCCATATAATTCATTCACAAAAAAATAATTTTTCAATTTTTTCGAATATCTGATTTTATTGAATATCTGATATTGGATATCTGATTTTATTAAATAAACATGATTGTTGTAATATTGTCATGATATTCGCTTGATTAATACAAAAAGATTAATAACATTAAGAAAAAAAATTAATAATATCAATTGAACCACACAGGAACTAGAGCAACCATTCGATAATCACGTTTTTTTTCACTTGATATCTTAAATATCATACATGAAATTACAGATTATATTATAATTTACGTGATTAGATCTGTTCTTTGTACATTATGTTACAATTTCTGCATCCAAAATAATACATATATAATTAAATATTGAAAAAAAAAGAAAGACAAAATTATAGAAAGTTAAGCATTAAAAAGAACAGATCTATTTATTAAATCTTCTAAAATCTCTTAGCGATGTTGCATTATAACAAAATCGTGCGAATTTTTCCTCATATTATACGTTGAAATAGATTAATTTTCACGAATTCATGTGATTTTGTTTGCTTCTGATATCATATAACTGCAATATGAGACCAAGTAAATTTAGCCCTTATTAAGATAAGCATTATCAAACACATCTTCCATACGCTGAACTTATGTAACGACCGTAGAATGCGCGAAAATAAAATGAAAAATAAAGTATGAAGTTACGTAGTTTATACACAAGATCTCATGTCGATGTTAATGAGACATTCTTACTATAAAGACGGAGGTAACTTTATTTTCATTTACATGATCATTCCACACAGCGACTATATTACACGATTAAAATAAAAATTCTATTACAATACTCGCTTATCGCAGTCTCATACGACTCAACTTTGGCACTACATTGTTTGCCAAGTGAGATTGAACAAAATATACGAATTGTATTTGTATATGGGAATGCAATGTTATTAAAGTTACAATAAATGAAAAGTCTTTATTTATTTTAAATTACCCCAATAGCAATTAATTATAAATTAATGTTGCGAAACTCCCAATTGAGTATATTTGTAGTCAAAGAACAAAACGAGGATTATCGAGAGTTCCTTATAAAAGTACTGATTTTTATAAAAAATTTAGTAGTATGTTCAATATTAAACAACTTTTATTCTAAATCGATTATCATCAATTCTGGCGATTCGCTCGTACTACTAATAGAACTTGTCTGCGATTTCTTTGGCGATGAGGTGCCACCAGCTGATTTCTTTGTACTTTGAGTCGGCGTGTTATCCTCATCGTCATCATCACTATCCGATATCAAATCGATAATGACGGCACGTTTCTTCTCCTTGGGTGCCGGAGGATTGCTTTCATCTGAACAAATAAATGAGAAATTTTATCTATTATATGTAACACTTAATTTCAAATGTAAGTAATTTAATCTCTGAAGAAATAAAAACAAAGTATAAATATTAATTTATGCTATCAGAGACAAAAGTAAGGATACCCAACACCCAGGAAATAAAAAGAATCATAAAAAACATAGAATTAGAAGAGCCACCAGCTATAATTGAGAAAAAAGGCCTTACATGAAGGAGAGTAAAGCGCCAAAAATGATATAATATTTAATATGTTAATCGAAGAGGGCGAAAACCTGATTAGGATGGTAACTATTCTAGTTAATGAATGCCTTTGGCATGCGAAAATCACAGGAACATAGAAAATGCAAAGGTAATTCTGCTACAAAAAGGGAAATAAACAACAACTGGAAAATTACCTGCCCAATAATCCTACTGTCGCACTTATTTAAACTACTTACGAAAATAATAACTAGTTAAGTAATACTTACAAAAATAATAACTAGTTAGTAATTAAGAAATTTAATAAGTTAATAAAGAAGAAGGATGATTATCAACTGAGTGGGATTCAGAAGAGGCTACTCTATAGCTCTATAGCTGATCACCTTCTCACCATGAAACTATTGATCGAGAAATGCAATTAATACCAAATACCAATCTATGTCGTGTTCATCGATTATAAGAAAGCTTTCGATACAATAGAAACATGGGTGATACAACGAGCCCCCCAAAACTGACGAACAGATAACAGATTCAACTCACACAGGAAATATCAACCGTTATACACCATCTGCACAAGACAGAGTTCCGCTGGCGAGAGAGGTTAGGAAAGTAGATACACTGTCTCCAAAATTATTCACACTTACATTAGACGATGTGTTTAAAAAACTAAATTGGATAAACAAAGGAATTAACCTCCAATACTTGAGCTATTTTAGATACGCAAACATGTCATCATATCAACTGAATTGCGTGAATTGGAGACAATGTTAAACGAACTTAACACAGAATCGAAAAAAAATTGTATTCGGAAAATTAAACGACGAAGATACAAAGAAGAATAAGGCAATCATAGGTAGTATTTAGAAAATTTAACTACATCTTAAAAAATAAACGAATAATCTTACGTCTTAAAAGTAAAATATTCGCAGCATGCATATTATCGGTATTGTGCTATGGAGCCGAAAACTGGACTATGACTGTGAAGAATATGAATAAATTAAAAACAACGCCATGGAACAAATGGTGCTAGGTATATCTCTGAGAGATTGAAAAATGAACGAATGGCTTAGACAGAGAATTAAAGTAACAGATGTTAAGAGACAGCAAAATTAAAATTTTATGCTGGACATGTAACAAGATGCGACATGAATCGTTGGCATAAAAAGATATTAGTATAGAGATCCTATATATTCAATAGACCAAGATCTCAGATGCGCTGGGCGGATATAAAGCGAACAGCGAGATTCAACTGGATTGAAGCAGCAACAAATCGCACTAGTCGCAAGTCAGAACTAAAAGAGGCATATGTCCAAAAATAAACGTAAAACGCTGTGTGTGTGTGTGTGTGTGTGTGTGTGTGTGTGTGTGTGTGTGTGAGAGAGAGAGAGAGAGAGAGAGAGAGAGATTTTCCTCTTACCTAAATCCACTGTATCCACGTCAATTTTATTATCTCGTGAATCAGTCGCAGCCTTTGCTTCACTTTTTTCCTTATCCTTATCCTTTTCTTTTTTCAGTACTAAATTCTCCCATGAACCGTCCTGCAGTAACTGAATCTCATTTACGTCTGGCAACAACTTATTTGAATTAAGAACTTCTTGAAAGTATCCGTCAATCACGAGATTATCGTAAAGCGCCGCCTTATCACAAACTGGACAGTTCCAAGTAGGTTTACGCTCGTTCATTTGAAGGAACAAAGAAGCGTCGAAACACTGTAAATGAGAGCATGTCGACGCACGACACGGCGTGCACATTCTCATCTTTCCCAGCGGACAGGCTAATGATACCCTCAGTGACGTTGTAGCTATTTCACTATCCGCATCCTCGTTTAATTTCTCCTTAACTGTAAGTTGATTCGTAATATTTTAGTAGAACATCTTTTGCTGCTACTCTAATATCGATAAAATTAATTACTTACTTAAACCTCTAGTATAATCGGAATGCCTTACGCCTCTATTTTTCAATCTAGTAAGCAATTCCGCGCTGGATAATTTCCTGACGAGGTATATTGCGATTGCGTATCGTCTACCATAATCAGCCGACCATGTGACACGAATCTCGTTTCCAACAGTAGGCGACAATTTCACCAAAGGACTAATATTGATAGGCCGTGGTGGTCTCTTTGGCTCTACGCTCGGTTTATTGGTAGGAATAGGATTCTAAAAAAAAATACTTATGATATTAGGGCATGGATGCGATTTTCCAGCGGTGCCCGGAGCGCGAGTGTGTCATTTGCTAGAGTAACTTTTCTCGAGGAGATCCTACATAGACAAAAGCACCTGGCATTAGCGCGCAGCGATGCTGTGCGCTCGACACAGGAAATCACGCATTCGGACTCTACTTATTTACACTTCTTAACATTCATTGTTTTCTACAAAAATTTATAAGATTAATTTTTACTTATAAACACAGCTAACGTATAAACGAAAAATCTTTTATACATTTATTGAATAGAGAATTTAACTATTTATGCTTGAATTATCAAACCTTGTTTCAATTCAATTAAAATTTGTACTTATAATTTACATGTGCATAATTTAAAAAAAAAGAGATGTATAAATGTAACTTACTGGTAAAGGACACAATTTTCCGTTAACTTTTACTGCAATATTTGGAGGAAAATAATCTTCCTGCTCACATGAGGTTTCTTGTAAACAGAATCGCATTTGTACCTAATTATAACAAATTATGAGACTTATAAATATACTAATAATACTGCAAGATATTTTTTGTTTCTTTACGTTTTTCATAATTATAAAGATTTACAATTGACATTTTATACACAAGATTTCAACACACCTGTACAACATAGTCCATTTTACTGCCAGCTCGACAGTCACGCGAGCTGGCGATATCTGTCGCCTGTTGTGGTGTCAAATGAAACAGGAATGTGTTCTCCTGCAGTCTTATCGTTCCCTGTGGCATTAAGCTAGACGGTTTCAATAATTCACCTAATAAATCGAAAAACGGAAGTTTCTTCAGCCTAACATCTGGATGGACCGGGTATTGACTTGTAGGTTGTATCTGTAATGGACCTGGTAAAACTTTGGTTGGGTATACGGATTGCTGATACGGATTAAACGCTGCATTTGTGGTACGCTGAAAAATACATTTATATAAAATAATATTTTTAATATAGTTCATAAATAGAGCCAAAAATAATCGTAAATTTTTTTTCTTAATATTTATGGATATAATAAGGAATATCCATATCTCTGATATTAATTTTTCATGTATATCACACAGATAATACACTTTTGCTCACCTGTGGTGTTACACTGGTGTAACCAGGTGACTGATATACTGGATTGGTCCTAGGTGCCTGAGGTAAGGATGCCTGATGCGCTGGAGTCAACTCTTTCCCAGCAGAAACTGATGCCTGTTGCTGCTGCTGTTGACTAATCGCTTGTCTTCAAATATATATGTTCGTTAGATATATTCTCAATTTTAAATATACATATACCCAGATAGCCAAACCTGCCAAAAGTATGTATTGCAAACTGTGTGTTGTATAAACGTATAACGTATATCATGTTAGCAGAACTCAGTAGCAGTTGAGCAGTTTGTTGCTTTTCTAATATTGGTAGAAATGTATCAGAGAACGAGCAAGCCCTGCATTATAACATGATGGTAAGATATGTCTCATTTCTGCCGCATTTTTTGTTGTTATATTATGCTGGTAAGATGTAATGGTAGAAATTAAGTTTAAAGAAGACACAGTGGAGAGAAATCTGCTCTAAAATCATGATTGAATTTGCTGGCATATTGTTGGCATACCGTTGGCATATTGTTAACATTTTGCTATCTGGGAGTACATAAATAAAAGCACATCGATGAAAAAATACCTTGTTGAATAATAATTTCTATTATGCATATTTTGGTCAATTTGCGGCTCAGAGGAACTACCAGTTTGCCCATACATTTGATGTGTTGCCATTTGATCTGCCCTGGAAATAATTTTCTTTAACATAGATTTCTTTGAAACAAGAAAAACTGTGTAGAGCGTACTTTCTCAATATGGCGATCGATTCTTCTTTATTTCACGTATTGCCAATTTTGGAACTTTGGAGTAAGCCACAAAAATATGTGGTTATCTCACTTGTAAAAAAAAAAAAGAAGCATTCGTTTCCTACAGATACTTCACTCTTCACTTGCAGTTTTTCACACTTACTGTATCGTCTTGTACAATTCACGTATTTTAAGCCGGATGGCTGGATGTGATCTTAAGCTCAATAATTCCAGTGCACGAGCTTGCAGCTCGTTCTTTCTGCCGGACTTATTTCTACCGGCAAAACCAAGAAGCATCTGAAGCTCAGACACTCGAAAACTTAATACCATACTCTGCAATCAGAACATTCCAATTCCCCTTACGTTCTCCTAGTTAATAATTCTTTTACGAATGAAAATTCACGTTACAAATTACATGTGTCGATAAGCGTTTATACACAAGCTAACAAGTGTTTCTTCAATCAAAATTGTCAAAGTGTGCGTGTTTACGTTTGTGCATTTTATGCGCACAAATTGGTACATTAGAAATTTTCTTCTCTTAAACACCTTAAAAGCCAATCACAAAAGAGTGTCTCCACTGCAACACGTGTCCAATTTAGTTTGATATTTAGAAAAAAAAGTAATCGCCAGTGTCACAAAGAGACGACACGGCGGCACGCACGTGGCAGCGTCGCGCGAACGAAATCCATATAGTGACGTCTCATTCGCGGGAGCGCAACGTGAAGGAATAGACGGAAGATCAACAAACAGAGCAACAGTGTGAGGTGAGAGGTTACCCATTGCATTTCCACGCGCGAACGTGTCGTGGACCGCCGTAGCCGCGGATCTCCCGCATCCCCAGGATCGTGCCCGTCGCTGCGATCTATCGGTAATGCCCGTGATCCAGTGCAAAGCAGATCCGCAGCAGTTTCGCACCGCGTAATCGTTAATAGACACCAGCCGTGCGGCAACACGCGAAGAACACGCGTCAGCGAAATAAAGTCGACCCGGCACGCATCGGGGGCGTGCATAGCACGGGGGCTGCGACGCGGCGCGCGTAGGGGCTTGAAATTTGGCTGGAACGTTCTAGAAAACGGAGCTTGGTCGGCGGAGGGACGGAACCGATCCCCTCGAGGGACGCGCGAGCGAGCGGCGCGAGTCAACCGGCGAAACGAGTCGGCCGCGCAGAGGACTGTCTCACAGCCCGGCGTTTCCGCCCCGGCAATGCCGGGCAAATCGGCGCGCGTTACCGGACGACGCGACGCGACACGATGCGATTTCCCGCGATGAGAAAGCCGTGCGGACGTCCGTCTCGCGTGCGCTGTGCAAGTGTGCACCTGTTCCCTTTTATAACGCGCACCCACTCACCTCCAGTTCCTTGGTGTCCGCCATCTTCTTGGCCGACTTTTTACTCGCAGCCGTTTTGCCGACGATTATTTCGAAATTCGGGACCACGGAAAAAAACGCGCGACCGCCTGCACCCGAACCTGTCACACCCGCCGCCGGTCTCCCTTCGCGTCAATCGCCGCCGTCGCCTACTCACTCTGTCACGCGCGCTTTTATTCACTCGCTCCCTCGCCGAGTCTCGCGCACTCTCCTTCTCTCTCTTTGTCTATATCTCTCTTTCTCTGCACCTCTCTTTCGAATATCACACAATATTATTTCTCGCCGTGAGAATATCGCGACGATACGAGCGGCGTGCCCGTTTCATCCGCTTTAACGGTGGATCTCATTTAATAAAAAAAAGGAAAAAGGGAAGAAACGATGCGACGTTCAAAACAATCAGCGCGCGTGATTCGCGACTATCGACATTCGGCTTTTGCCGTTCGAAAAGCGAATCTTCCAAAATGGCGCCTGTGAAATATTAGGAGCACACTTTTATTATCATGGACTTTTACTAGATTCAACTACTCATTCGCCGTCGCGTTGATGCCAAAGTGCTTTCGATGGGGGCTGTCATTTCTATGCCCTCAGTCCGTGCGCCATCGATTTATGACGTCAAATGTCGCAGTAGACAAATACGCGCTCGCTATAGAGTGAGAGGGACTACATAGGAAGTTATGTCATCTAACACCTTATTGGTGATTTAAATTTGGCGGGAACTAAAATCACCAATCAGGTGATAGCAAAAGAGACACATACATGCTGTCCAGGACTGCGTTCAGAAACTTTGCCTAGGTCTATATATCATTTTATCCTTGTTTAACAATCGGTGAATACATGAAGTATGAATAAGGAGACGTAACTCCATAGATTGGAAGTGAGCACAAAAAATGTTCCGTGTACTGCCAGGTTTGTTGAACGGAATAACTGCAACATTTCGTCGCCATATTGAAATTCATATACGTACATGTGTCACATCTAATTGTGTTAGTGTATCAAGTGTAGAAGTGAGTCACTTAGAAGTAGTCACGTAGAAGTGATACACTAACACAATTAGATGTGACACATGTACGTATATGAATTTCAATACGGCGACGAAATGTTGCAAGTTAATCTGTTCAGCAAACCTGGCAGTACACGGAACATTTTTCGTGCTCAACTTTTTTCCCTCTAGCCTATCTAGTTACGTCTCCTTATTCTTACTTCATGGGTGAATAACAAGGATAACATGATATACCGTGAATTCCTGAATGCAGCCCTTTGAGTATATAGATACCTGGAGGTGGAATGCCTTTGTTCTCTGCAGGCCGCAAGCGAGTCCAAGAGTGACAAGGAGTGCGAGAGAGAAAGGTATACGAGCGATACCACGTGATACTTCGTCCTCTCTGTCTGTTGAATGATCGACGCATGCGCAGAGAGGACGAACATTACTCGTCTACCTTTCTCTCTCGCACACATCTTGAACACAGTTTTCGAGCCAACATTCCACCTTCATGTCTATATACTCAAAGGCTTTTACTCTCTCTAACTTAGAATATTTGTATCTAGGCTAGACAGTATACCAATTGCAATCGCAAAATATTAGTGCGTTCCAAAACACATAAAAAAAAAGTGTCGCAACTATAGACTGGCAATGGCCTAGAGTTCTAGATTATCAGAGAAGCGCGACCGGTGTTACGAGTCCTGATTGGATACGCAAATGGCCAATCATAAGATTGATTTATCGCTATTATAAATGGCTACCGAATAAATCAAACTTATGATTGGCCATTCGACGCCATTTTTAATATTTTCTAGTACTTTTGCGATACTGCCATAAGCCGGTCGCGCTTCTCTGATAATCTAGGACTCTAGGGTGAGGCACGTGTGCGGTAATGAGTAGGGATAACAAGACAGAAAGTAGCGACATCTTGTGGCATACTACCTCATTGGAAGTAGCGACATCTTGTGGCATGCTACCTCCCGTCTTACCTCTCTACCTTCACCCGCACACGTCGCACCCCCGATGGCCCTCGTTCATTGATCGAGAACCCCCCCTGTCTATCTACTATTATTGTTTCAATATTATTTTTTCAAGTTGATGAAGTTTACATTTTAACTTATTCGAGAGATTTACTTGAGACAATTTGTATCTTTCTTATCTTGTAAAGAATCTCTTCTCTAAATAAATACACTTTTTGAAGTGAATCAACCAGAAATTGTAAGATTCATGCATTAGAATATTATCACCAAGATTTGCTTTACCGTGTTGGCATTTCTTGATCTTCATGGTTTGTAATTATTATTTATTTTTTATGTTTGAAATTATTATTTTATTTCTTTTTAATTGTTATAATTTAATTGTTATTTTTTTATTATCGAAGTTATTAATAAATATTAATATATGTTACCTGTCTTTTGCAGAATGCCTATTATTACTACATATTTTATCGCATTTATTTATATTTAATTTGTGATAATTCTCTTGATTAAAATTTATAATGTGGGTTTGTAATTTGTACATGCCGTCTGTTACAGAGCCACATCCAATGATTTTATTCATTCTGTTATCGTGAATTTCCAGAAAGTTTGTTTTAACATAAACTTCAAGTACTATAAAATAAAAATATGTAAATATTACAAGTAATTGTAAATAAATGTATGCATATTAAGTAACTCTCTTTTAAAAAATGCAGTAATATCACAAGCAGAAAAAAATTTACAAAAAAATTGATATAGATATTTATTTAGATATTCAGATATTAATAAGATAATATTCTGAAATTTACTAATGCGATCTGTACTAATGCGGTCTGCAATATCTTTTAATTTTGTTGGAATTGGCTCATTAAATAGATCTCTTGGCTCGTATGTACCCAAATTTGTAATCAAGGTATTTGATCGAATTAACAATTCATAAGGCATATTCCCGTTATTATAAGTTGAAATTTTTGGTAATCTCGCCTGAGCTCCATCTAAATGAATAATCTATAAAAATTTTAAATAAATTAAAAAAATTGTTAAAATATACTAATTATAAGAAGAAAACGAGAAAGGAAAAGGGAAAGAATAGGAATAACAGCGGTGAGAAAATAAGAAAGCGATAGAACAAGAGATCAAAAGAAATCTCAAAATATTTACGTGGTTTGGATTGATATTGGGCAAAATACGTTTAATTTCGTCGTTCCAACAAACAACTTGAATTCTTTTACCATTATCATTATTCAAATAGAATTTGAAAAAGTGATATTGTTGGTTATCGCCTACAATACG